TCAGTTTATCATTCTAAATAAATTATATAGGCTGATGTATGTACACGTATGCTTTAAAGCTGTACATGCCCCATTTTATCGAGATACAAGCCAAAAAGACAAACCCAAGATTGGAAATTACACTAAATATAACGTGTATATATAAACAGCATATGTTAATTATCTTTCCTATTACAAAGCGTAAATTTATCTTTTATATTCAAACAACTTTCAAAAGAATGAAAATTAACACATGAGCTTTTGCCAAATTCATATCTACAGAGTAAATTATTTTATTGAAGCTAGCTTCTGACCTGCTTCACGAGTCACTAACAGTATAAAGAATAACAATGGACAGTCGTAATTATAAGCTTAAAAGATCAACACTTTGTGACACGAGTTGATACTGTTTAAGAATTTCAATTCTAGTTTAATATTACTCACAATAAAATAGGATGAGTCCTAAAAACTTTCAAAAATACCTTATTAAAGAAAACTGTTAAATAGCTTTAAGAGTTTATACAAAAAAGAAGTTATGTTAAGAATATAACTGAAGTATTTTAGTAACCGTGAAAGTAAAAAGCTGATCTTTCAAAAAGCCGGTTAAACAGATGTGGAAAGGTTAACAGTGAAAACTTTGAAGATAAAAATTAAATAAAGCTAGGGGAAATTATACATCAGAATCAGAGAGAAAAGGAATTGTTAATTTTAACTTCATAGTTTTCAGCTTTAACTTTCACTGTATATTGATCATGATTTTGCTATAGTTGGTGTTATGGTAGACAAAATAGCAGAAAGATTTTTTTATTAAAAAAAAACTTTTGACATGCTTTAATGAAATTATAGAGGTTATGCAGATAAAATATGAAAATTGTAACATGAAAAATTAATACTTAACATGAAATTCACCTTACACTCAGACTGGTCAGAGTCAAGCTGACTCAGTAACTAAATTTAGACAAATCTTTAGTAAAAAACCTTTTATTAAAAATTCTGATTTCTTGTGTACAACAGAATTTTCACACTTACAAGAAGTTTGCCAAATTCTGTGAAGATACACAAAGTGAATTCAGAATTATAGTAAACATTAATTATGTTGACTATTTTTAGTTAAATACCAAATTTGTACGTTAAATGCAATATTTTAGACAAACCAAACTCTTCCATTCATTAACATACTAAGTTTATACAAGTTGTTTATTTAAATAGGTGAATTACATCACTAAAATACTCATACAATCTCTTCTTAAGATCTTTGTTACAGCTTCAACTATGTCTTAATTTTCTTTGTTTCATTCACTCTCAATTTTAACCAAAGTTCACATCATCATTTCCTCAAAGAAATATAAATTAATGTACCAAATAAATATAGTCAAACTCCACACTATACTTAACTTCTATAAACTGCAGCTTATCCCATTCATTAAAAAATCATCTTACTATTTGCATTACCACAAGGTTACACATTCTTTGCCTTTTATTCTTTTGCTACTCCTAATCAATTTGAACAAGGAAAGCAATTTATTCCTATAGCAAGAGATATCAATCATAGAAAGCCTGTGATTTGGAACCAAAAATCTTTTAGGCCTAATTATCTACTTGGAATTGAAAAAAAAAGAAATAACCAAGCAAAACAGTTTTATTTATCTCACACAGATTTACTGACAATCAAATAAAACCTTGTATACTAGCTAAGTACATGTATTTATACATTATATAATGCTACTATGTCTAGAAAGTTCATACAAAATATTTTGCAGCATAAGTTTTATTTTTTAATCCACACATCAAATACTAGTCAGTCATCACACACTGGTCAATCAATAATTTACTGTTAGCATGTGAATGACCAACTGAAAACAAACAAACATGACAACTTAAAACTATATTTCTTGTTTAAGTTTTTTTTTCTTCAAAGGTGGATTTATTTTCACTGATGGCTTTTGCCTATAGTTATTAGTATTTCAATTACTTCAAATGAAAAATGCCAGTAATATCTACTGATGTTACCCACGGTATTCTCAATGTCTTATTTAACACACTGTGAACGAGTCTACCGAGTTAATCAATATGCAGAGACCACTTTCTATCTCAAGAGTGAGAATATAAATCAAACATATGAAACATTAAAAAAAAGAACCCATCATCTAAAAGTCACATAATGTAAACCAGTTATTTCTGAATCTTCCTCTATAAAAGTAGAACATCTCTACTAAAAGTCACAGAATTGTAAAACTGATAACCTACTAAGTTTATGTGTTAACATACAGCTATAAACAGTAAAACAACCATCTTATTATACAGCAGGATGTTATGTGTGTGTGTGTGTATATATATTTGCAAAACAGCCATAAAACAACCTGTCTCTTGTTGTCCATATGTATGATAATCTACTGGATTCAAATAAAAAAAAATACATGCACAGAGAAGGAAAAAAATGTAAGGTCATCCAAAAATAACATATTTGTATCTGTTTACTTGTATTTAGAGCTAAACTCATCAGACTACATGTTTTACTGTAGAACTGGATTTTAAAACAAGCCTTTAGATGCTGGTTGTCAGATTTGATGTAACTGGTAGAAGAAAAAAGATTGAGTATAAAGATGTAACTTGAGAGGATTAAAATTTCTTATAATAAATAACAAAAAGTATTATTAATAGTAACTTCTCATGACATATAACACACTATATAACAAATTGATTCAATGCTATTTTTATGGAAGATTTAAATTTTTGGCATATTAACTGGATAAATTTTTCTTTTTTTTTACAGCAGCTAAGCTATAGAGTTTTAAAGGATTTTTTCCTGCATGAAAAGCTGAGAACTAAAGATTCTTGTATTACCATTGTATTATCTTTGACATCCTTATTCAAATATACACTGAACATAATATAAAAAGCCAAAGTAATCTTAGTTAAGAAAAGCTAACATTAAAAGGGTTATGATATTCACTGTATGCAACTAAAAATAAGCAGCTTTTGAGGAAGAAAGTGTCATCAACACCTGAAATATTTAACAGAATATGTTATAAAGTCAAGCTGACTGGTACAATGTATTGACCCTACTGTATTTTAGATAATCAATTTTAAATCCCATTCTCATGTGGATAAACAAGAAAATTAAGCTTTCAATTCCAAAGTTTCAAAACATTAAGTTGCATGACATGGACATTAATGACAATAAAAGTTAAATAAAAATCAATTTTAGTCACATTCGCTTCAGAATAACATGTCAACTAAATTAGAACTATATTTGCATGTAATACGGAAAATACTGGACCATTAAAAAAATAAATAAAAGAAAGGCACCTGTATTACAAAAATTATGTAAATAAAAAAAATTGAATAATTTCATATTTAAAGCCCCTCCTTAAGGCTCGGGAATGTAGGGGGCATGATTTAGAATTCATAAATATAGATGAAATTTTTACAAAAATATTAACAGGCAGTAAGATTAGAAAATGCAAATTTAGGGTATGGATAAGGTATGGAAAACATAGACATGACTCCAGTTAAAGCAGTGTCACTTTTCTAATAGGGTGGTCTGCCTATAAAAGTTTCCCTTTAGATGTGATAGAAGCTACAACAATGAAGGAATTTTTAAAAGAAGACTGGATGTGTATTATAGAGATTAGTGTTGGATATATGAAAAAATGTTCTTACAGCAACTTGGAGTAGGTGGAAGTAGAAAATGAAACAGTCTAGACATACCAGATGGTCCCATGTTATACTTTCAAAGTGAAATTAAATGCACAGTAAATGCTAGGAAAAAGATAAAAGTATCTTGTAGTAGAACAATGAAAGTGTTAAGTTTCCTGACAGCATGAAAATGTGTTTAGTAGATCTGAAGGTTTCTGTTTTGACATTTTTTAATGCATTATACTTATTATACTTCTATTGAACATATGGACAATACAGTGATCTATTTATAAGATATTTAAACTTGCTTGTGATATAAAGGTTGTAAGTAAGATTGTCTTTTAAATAGAAAGGGTTTGATTTAAAACAATCCAGGGGAAGCAAATGGGCTGAGTCAGGTGAAGTATTTTCCTGTTACAACTGTAAAGTGTGGAAACTTATTAAAAAACACTTTTAATGGCACACATCCTAAGTTTATTACCATATAAAAAATACAAAACAACTAAATAAAACAAAGTGGCAGAAGGCCATTTGATCTATTAAGGTTATCCTTCACCCAAAAAACAAGTAACCAAAAATATCAAATAAAGTTAAATGTAATATTTCACATCTAAGATACCGAGGAGTATAAAAGATAAGGACAGACTTGGTTCAGATGTTAAAAATATGAGAGATTTTAACACTCTTCCAAGAAAATAGCATGCAGACAACACAATGCCATTTCATCCTTCAATGTTATCCTTTCATACACTGGTTTGAGAAAAGTAAAATTTTAAACCTATCCTTTAATTTTCAGAAACTCATCAATTACCCTCATAAGGTCCTGGCCTACACTGCTGTCAAAATCATCTCATTCTACAAGTCACTACTGAATGGGTTCTCATATATATTGAACACATGATCCAAATTCTGACAATCTCAAATGCATTACCTCGCACCAATTAAAAGTCATTTGCCAAATATCTGTCAAACTTATCAATTAATCCAAGTAGTTCCATAATACCTAAACATCTTTAATGCAGCTAGAAATATCCAGAAGTTTAATCATGAGTGAACTTTACTAATTATGTCCTAATTATTAATATAAATAACAAAAAAGCAAAGCCCAAACACAAAGTTATAAGGTACTCCACTAGTAACATTAATAATAACTTTCGCTTTCTCTCATCCAAACATCCTACTGTCTAACATATTGTTGGTGTGAACATGAACTAGTATAAACCAATAACACACGTTGATCAAAGTGTAGATTGAACTGGATCTCCCTTGAACTTAGACTTTGAGATTAAACAATTTTCAGAATACTAAGCTTATTTATTATCCTACTATCTAATTAACTACTATTTTCTCAACCCCTACCAATGTGAATTTGATTTTCTTACCTAATGTTTTCCGTAGCACTTCATAAAAAGTTTTTTTGAAAATCCAAGACTCTTCCTTCATCCAGATAACAAATAACATATTTTGGAAAAATATAACAGATCAGTAAGGCAAGATTTCCATTTAGTGAATTCATATAGACTTTCTTTTCACTATTTTATAAAGATTTTTTTATCATACTCTCTGGAATAACTGGCCAGGAATGACCTACCAGAAATGAAAGTAAGATGCTTGCATATCTGATCCTTGACCTCCTTTAAATCCCTGGGGAAAACCTTGCATGGCCATGGTGCTTTTAATTTTTAGAAGTTAGATAACCAACAAAAACCATTAGAAGCAAACATGTATGCTCAGTTCCTATAGCCTGTAAATTTCACCAAAGCTATAAAAGCCCACAGATATACAATGCAAATAATATTTACAGGTGATCAATCCAGTTTCTTATTTTTAATCTCTAAATCTTACCAAGGGATTAACCTCTACACAACTCAAAACAAATCCTATGTTTCCTATTAGAATATCCAGGATAAGGAATATTTAAAAGCTTAGCTACTCCACAGTCTTCAACAAATGCTTTTCCATCACCATTATTTAAGGGCCCAATCACCATTTTAACATTTTGATTACCTTAAACATATTTCAATCTGTCAGAATGGGGTGAAATGTTTAGACATATGAACCTGAATATTTTGGAGTGAAAGATTTTTACATGAGATGTCTAAATACATTCTTGTTCTTCCACAAAAACATTGTTCTACTGGATTTATATATTTGAATAGTTTGCTCAAAGTAGTGGTAAGCACCGATATTTTATAGTCTTTGAGCTTTTGTTAGGCAGGTTTTGAATTTGAAAACTGTATCAAATTTTGTTTTAATATATTGGTTGTTTTGATAGCAAAGAAGTGACCTACTGTCACCATGCTTATTTATATGTTTATGTTCTTGTTCATATAAATTATAATCAGTAAAACTGAATGTAATATAAGAAAAGGTTCAAATTTGAAAGATCTCGTACTATAATTGTTGCAATTTCTACTATACTTGAAATTATGTTATTCAATAGGCTGTCCACCCTAAAGAGAGTAAATTATTACAAGTCCGACTTTTCAACATTTTGACAATTAATTATTAATTAAGGTTCTAAATATTTAAAAACTAAAATCAAATCTAGTGAGTGTTCTTAGTGAACAACACATAGGATTAAGAATTTTATATTTAGAAAACACTTCTTTAAAAAAAAACAACTTAAAACACCAGTCAGATTATATTTCATAATGACGATTATATGACATATCATACGACTTGAATGTGAATATACACCAATATCAATTCAATTCGAATCCAGATATAACGCTGTTCAAAAACAAGGAAGAACCCCCACGTACTTTGCTAATAGCTAAAGTAACATTCGCTAACGCGTTTACCTCAGGCTTAATGCCGGTGTAACGAGTCAGTATGCACCACACAGACAAGTGGCAGTGCGGTTATAAACATAAGTTATAACTCAAAGTCAAACTGAAAATATAACAACAAAATTTTCAACTGCATCAATACCTTACCTAAAATAATGGCTGATAAAAGCAAACAGGCCTTTCAAAAACTCACATCCACTACTCCAATATTTACACTCTTGTCAACTTAACACTGGGCGTACACTCTATCGAAACGTAACATTAAATGTGTAAATCACATAACCGTGGCATCGCAAACCCAAGGTTATGAAAAGTTTCCCATTTTCTCCACTAGAGTAAAACTGTAGCACACCATAAGACAAGTATAAGAAAGAAAAACTAAAAAAAAAAAAAAAATACGCTTCAAAATAAATGCAATTTTAACAGGCCTCTCACGAGCCAGTGGGGACATTTTTGTCGGGAAAAAACTACCGAATTCGGTTTTTTCTTAATTTGAACTGAAATTTTTGGACATTTTTATTGGCTAAAATTAAGTCATTTTAGCGTTGGGGCTGTGAAAAATGATTTGAAAAGATAAGGTGACTGAAATTCGTCAACGTATCACGAGCTTAACGCCCAAACACAGGAAGCATAAAAGTATCCAAAAGACGCACAGAGGTATTCAGGATCCGTTTAGATTCACCTTGGTAAATATTGTGCAGCAAGCCGAGAACAATATTGTTACGTCTCCGTTCGTTAGTTAATTTTCCGTAAAAATTATTTCCGATCTAACTTTAGCGACACAAGTCCTTTCTTAAATAAAACTGGTTTATTCTTTCTGAATACAACTTTGCGATACACTTAATTTCAACAGTCGCGCTATAACAAGCACTATAATTCACAACGAACGTCTCACGTGCTCGACTCAACAATACTCTGTCCGCAGTTCAATAACATTGTTCCCGTCGCTTCTTGGCCGGTCTTATATATACAAGACTACCCCATATCAAGTAGTCTCCCGACGTTCTTCATGAAGCGCGTGGCGTGTTACTGGAGTCACGTGACCTCCGCTGTCGTAACACTGCCCCTTCCTTAGTATTGTTCGTCCCGAACAATAGCCACTTACATTAAACCAATAAACAATTAACAATAACTTAATTAAATGTACAGAATTTACAAACACAAAATTACAATTCAACAAAGTCTCTTAATTTTAAGGGACGTATCTTCTTTTGGTCTCCGTCTCGTTGGCTTCTGCTTCATGTGAGGTTCATCTGCTTCATCAGGAAATGTCCTACCATCGGTAACAGTCACATCAGTGGTAGTAACTTCATCAAGGGCTTCACTGTTTCCCTGCTGAAAACCGA